TGAGCCATTTTCGGCCAATGTAAATGCCATATTATTTAACTCTGTGAAATTCAAAATTATCAAATAACTTAACAGTTTTATTAATTATAGTGCTGGGCGGACTGGAAGCTATCGGTAAAAAAACAAGCATCTGCAATGAATGGCTTTTCATTACAAACAGGCAATCCACCATAGTGAAGGGCCGAAATCCCTTGAGGGAATAGATAAAGAGGTGAAAACGTTGATTTCAGAGCATGCAATGGACGGGGATCAAAATACTCCTGAAGCAGACACTCCGGTAAATAAAAGACATGTTTTTTGTTTTATTTATTAATAACAATTTCTGTTTTCTTCAACAGTATCAGCAATCAGATTTCTATGAGATGGAATTTCTGGAGAGTGAACAAATTATAGATAAAACCTTTGCTTCTCCAACGCCCACACTGCAAATAAAATCAACGCTTTTTTACCACCGGCAGCTAAAAAAACAGGGAATGACACCTACTTATCAGAACTCGAAAGAGTTAAGCGCTTCATTGCAGACCAAAACGATAAGCAGAACCAAACATTACAAGAAATGCTTACTGTACTAAAATGTATCAACAATTGTATGCCCGAAGTTACTGTTAAAGAAAATGTGTAGTAATCTATATTACATTTAAAACGAGCAAAAAACTCTTTACCTATTATTCCATCTACTTGGATTATAAAGTGATAGAAGACCATCCACTGGCAACAGTCGATGAATTGTTTAATTCGATGAGCGGTGGAGACAAAGTTTCAAAAATTGCGTACTTGCAGTTGGAAATCTATCCGGATGATCGATACTTGCTTACACTAAATACTGATTAGGGACTTTATCAACCTGCACGATTGATGTTTGATGTTGCTTGCGCGCCAGCCAAGTGGCGACGATTCACGGATAGGCTAGTCAACGAAAAAACGGGAGTCTCGGTGTTCTTTGATAATAGCAAAGTAACAGCACCAGATGATGACACTCATTTGAAGCGACTAAAAGAAGTTATGCGAATATTTAACGTACATAACATGCGATTTAAATGGGATAAATCGAAATTTTTAAAAGATAGAATACAATAGCTGAGTTCCAGCAAACATGATCCGCTCAATGATCTGGCTTATCTTTGCTGAAACGATACGGATCACGTATAAAAATAATTGGCAACGCATGAGTTATGCCAGTTGGGTTTGTGTACAAAATTTTTTGATTTGTCTGAATAATTTTGGCACTAAAAAAATAAATGTGAAAGTTTTGAATACAAAAAATCTAAAAAAATAAAAAAAAAAATAAAATCTGTTGAAATGTCTGAAGTATTAAACGTAAGTTTTTATTTAGTATTTACTTTAAAACTTAAATTTAATTTTATAGTAAATAAATGGAAATTGCAGATTTTATTAGAATCATCGAGCGAAACTGACTCTTCCATTTCTTTTTAAATACTAATTCAAGTGTATTAAACTCAACGGATAAAGTTCATCAGCATGTATATAGTGGAAGTTTTGTGGAAACGATCAATAATTTTGCCGTTAAAGATTATTTGACTGGTATTTGCGCATAAAAAATACAATTGCTATATATTAATTATGTTTCATTTTTTAATAGATTTATTAATAAATTCCAATCAGCGAATGCAAAATAACCGTGATGATCACAATCGGACGATAGCAATGAAGGAATTTTATATATTTTTGTGATATATGGCAAATATGAATAGTTTTTGCGAATTTGGTATTTGTTTTGCCATACCAAGAGCTTCTGTATGGAGAATAATTAAAAGAACTAGTGTTTAGCTTATATCAATTGAACACTAATTTATAAAATACACGCTTGCTAATAATGCAAAAGTGGAAGCTTCGAAAAAATTCCCGTTCGTAATTGGCACACATGTAATTAACACACATGTAAAAATAAATGCACCACACTATAGCAAATAGGCTTATTTCAAAAAGAAGCATGACTATAGCTTAATTTGCAGGCAGTTTGCGATGAAAATGGTTTTTTTATAAACGTTTATGTTGCAGAGTCTGGTTCCTTATGTATTGTTCTGTTTTAATTAAATAAATGTATTCAACTTAATTTTTATATATTCATTTCAAATGAATTGATTTTAATAAATTATCAAACAACACTTTTTCAATAATAATAAAACGTGAATAAATAAAGTAATAATTTTAATTACAGTAATAATTAAAACGTTACTTTAAACAAAGAAATAATGAATAATGACATATTAAATACATAAGTACATAAAATAAACAATAAATAAATAAAATCAATAATAAATAAATATAAATGTAGATTTATTTATAATTTTACAACACCGTTGCATCGCATTACCAACCTCATTTTCATTAAAATACGTTCAACTTTTATCTTTTACATACATTCCACATTGAACCAGATCAATTGCTGGTTCTCCTCATTGTTTTTGTTTTGCATGTAAAATTGAGCGGATCATGTTTGCTGAAACACAGCTAATATTGTGGTTACGTAATGGATCGTAATGATATTCGTGAGATGGACAGGAAAATAAAGGCTATTCAAGAGTTTAAGAAACCAAAGAGTAAGGACGAAATACGTTCATTTTTAGGGTTAGTAAATTATTATTTAATGTGTAGCCATTAAATCGGCTGCTCCACAGTAATACTAAATTTAATTTTGACGAACAATGTAAAAAAGCATTTGAAGAAGTAAAAAAACAAATTCAATCGGATATTGTTTTAATACATTACAATACCAATTAAACAGTCGTACTAGCACAATATACACAAATATTTGCACCGGACAAATTACGAAATAAAACATGTAAACATTTTACTTTTCATTCACATACTTACTTTTATTTAACTTTTTATGTTTGACATTTGATTTCATATTTGACATCTCATTGACAAACATCAACTACGATGACTGTAACGGAAGTAATCCGTCCAAATTCAGGTTTAACTTTGAAATACCTTGATATGACTTATAGCCATCTGTAATATCTGTAAGTAAGCATGTTGTACTAATATCGGAATTTAAATCATAATTTTTTATAATAGACACGTCAGCACCAGTGTCAATGAGAAGGATTAGATTTTTATTAATAATATTACAAAATACTAATACGTAATTTAAGATATTTGAATTTATATTGAAGATTTTTGTTGGTGTAGTTTTTATTTGAGTAGTTTTCCAATTGCATTATTGTAGCTTGTTTTATTCCTATTCGCGTAGTTTGATGCGTTGTTAGAGTATGAGTGTATCCTGTTTCTGTTAAAATTTCTTACGTTATTGTTTCTATTTTGGAATTGTTGCTAATTCCCTGGTTATGTTGGAATCTATTACGGTTTACTCTATAGTTGTTGCATCTTCTTTGTTGCATCCTTCGGCGTTATGCGGCATTTGCGTGAGTCCATCCGTAAAAAAACCAGATTTGTGGAAAGCCAACAATTGGATTTTTCACCACGACAATGCTCCATCGCGCACGGTTCTTGTTGCACTCGATTTTTTGACCAAACACGGCACCACTGTCATCACTCAATCACCATATTCGCCAGATCTGGCGCCGTGCGACTTTTTCTTGTTCCCGAAACTCAAATTGCTCCTTTGTGGTGAGCGTTTTGAGTCGATGGAATTGGTAAATTATATTATATTATATTATATTATATTATATTATATTATATTATATTATATTATATTATATTATATTATATTATAAATATTGTTTTATGTATGACATCGTATTATTATTATATTATAACACTTTTTATATTATACTACTTTTTTTATATGGTATAATATAATATACCATACCATATAATATATATTATTTTATATTATATTATAAGATTTTATTATATTATATTATATTATATATTATATTGTATATTATATTGTAAATTATATTATATTGTATATTATATTATATTCTATATATGTTATAATATTATTATAATAATATAATTTTATCTATTATATTATATTATATATTATATTATATTATATTATATTGTATATTATATTATATATTATATAATATTTTATTATTTTATATATATTATTTTATATATTATATTATTTATTATTATTGTTTTATGTATTATATTGTATATTATTATATTATTATATTTTATATTATATATTTTTTTATATTGTATATTATATTATATATATTATATATTATATATTATTTTATATATATTATAATATTATATATTATATTATATATATATTATATTGTATATTATATTGTATATTATATTATATTGTATATTATATTATATTTTATATTATATTATATATATATTATATTATAATATATATTATATTATATTATATTATATTATATATTATATTATATTATATTATATTGTATATTATATTATATTCTATATTATATTATA